AAAAAAAATGCAGTGTTACAGGAAAAAAACACTAAACGCCGCTTTGAAGCGAGATCAACAGAGCTAAATCGTAAGCAGGAAGAGAAGGGTGGACGGAACGGAGAGGCGAAAGAAGAGGGAGAGTATGTTCCCCAAACAAACAGAACTCAAAGATTTCAAATTTAGCCTCCAGGCAGACGTGGTTCCAGCGTGAGAATTCCTGCCGCAAAAGTCACTAAATTGGGAACCAGTAAAGCTAGGAGGTTGTAATTTCCAAGAAGAGTTATTTGCACTGTCATGAGAGTTACATACAAAAAAATTCTGCTAACCTAAAATTGTTAATTAAGGTATACACTACACGGTATCAGAAATCAAACAGCACATGTGTTTGAATTACCAAGATAAAGGATATGACACAACAAACAGTTACTGGACCACATCAAAATTCAGTTCTCATAAAGTTTACGGACAAGTGATTCTCAGTATATAACAGCATTTCACTTTTCCCCGTTACGCAACCTCATTTCAACGACACCTCAAAATGAGGAATAGCGTAACTCCACGTGAAACTCTCAGCTTATCACTTCATCTTTTCTTAATTTGCTTTATATCTGCAACAAAGCTTTACTGGACGATCTACGCTGGTGCGTGCGTATCCTATTCTTTGAATGTAAGTTAAAGTAAATAATCATAAAATTCAAAAAATTCACCTCTGTGCAGAATGCCTGACAAATAAGACATAATCGATGTTGATGCAGCATTTCGGAGTGAATCTGCAAAACTAATTTGCATCCCACACTTCAAATATTACCAAAAACCTCGATTTAAGCGGAACTCCTAGCCACGGGAAAGCAATGTCCACATTCCCCAGCTGCCTTTTCAGACTCTGGAAAAAGGAAATTCCCCCCGAATCATACTTTAAGCAAGGCGAAACCACCTGCGTAATAAACTAAAAACGTTCACAGGGGAAAAAACGCAAGAATTAACGAAAATCTGAGGAAATAACTCACCGAGCAGAACCACTGCTCCGGAACAGCGCTCAAACAGAACGTCACTGCTCGCCTCTGGCATCGGTAATTCACGCCATAACGCCTGTCTTCGGCAGTGCACATGCAGCATACATTGGGCTCCAACGGGGCCTCATTCTCCCTAACAAACATTGTATATAATATTTGCCTTTGGAAAAACGGCAGAGAAAAAAAAGTGCCACTGTTTATACGCTTTTTGCACTTTTGCAAACGCAATTTTCATTCCTTAGCAGTAAACACAGACAGAGCTCCAATTGCAGTTAAGAGCAGAAATCATCGTACAGTTTTGCGTCGACCGTACATCTGACTAATTTGCACGATAAGAGCAGAGCAAGAAACCCTAGGCTGCAACGCAACGACTTTTCGAAGCGATCATGCATTTTTGCGTCAAACTTGAAGCAAACAGGATGTTAAGTGCATGAATAGTTGTTGCTTGTATTTAATTTATGTACTCACTAGCGTAAATCATCGTAAATTATGTGTAGAAGATGTAAAATTTCCGTTGGAAGATCGTTCACTGATGATCAATAAGCAACTTTCCCACCGGAACTTTTGCACGCTTGTGCGTGAGTACCACGCGTATCGGGGGGCTGAATTTGAAACCCTTAAGTTGTACATGGATCCGAACATCCCCACAAAATTTCAATCTCCTAGCTTTTCTGGTTCCCGAATTAGCAATTTTTCCGCCAAAGTTTTTACGCGTTCGTGCGTTAAGAAAAGTGCATGCTTCAAGACAGAATATGAAATATTCTTCAAGTTGTATATGGACAGGGAACGCCTCCTTGAAATAAATTTCAGCTTATTAACTTTCCTTGTCTTTGATTTAGCAACTTCCATGCCAAAATTTCCACATGCCCTTACGTTGAGAATTGGATTTGCTGATGAGCTAAATTTGAAATTTTTTGGTCATACTTGAGTAAGGATTTCCTCAAAATTGCAGCTTTCTGCGTTTTCTTAAATTTCTCGTCAAAATTTCCACGTGTTCTTAATTGAGATCCGGAAATGGAACGCACAGATAAAATTTCAGTACCGGTTGCCAAGTAGAAAAACCCAGACAGACGAAAATGCACACACAAACAAACAAACAGACACACATACAGAGACAGGGCCATCACAGCATGCATTTTTGCTACCTGTCACAGTGCTTTAGCGATACACAGCAAAAAGCATAAAAAGGAGAATTTTCAGTTTGTTTTTTCTTTCCGTATTCGGATTTGTGATTATGATATATGATTCGTACTAAATTCGTAACTAAAAAACAAAGTTGCGAAACTGACTCCTCGAAATCGCTTGCAAAATTAAAAAATCATGCTCGCGAGAGCTCAAAATTGTGTGCGATTTTCATCTTTACGATTAGATAATTCAGAGGACTGAAAGTGCATGAACTTAGTGCTTGGCACAGAAATTGCTCAGAGAGCCACTTTCTACTTCGCTGATCCTCAAAATATCACCTTGGTGAAGCGGAAACATTGCTGTGAATATGCTGTAACATGCCTAGAGTTTTATTCTGCGGAAAAAAACTATGCAAAAATGTATGCTTGTGCTGGCACCCTGTTGTAAATCTCGACTGATTTGTACGAGGAATGCGAATGCGATGCTCTTTTCACATAACGAAAGCAGCTGCTCCAAAAACAGGGATGAGACTCGAATATTCTGGCTATGTGAAACGATGAAGGGGCTTTATTTTTGGCTCAAAGCATTCTCGATACAAAATATTCGTTAAGCTTACAATTTGGTTTGCAAGCTCACCTTAATGAGAGGCAGGAGCACTGGTAGACATCGTTCACAGAGCACGGATCGAACTGACAGCCACCGTCACTGGTTTCCTCCTTCTCCTCCATCAGATACTAAAATATGCAAAAATACATACCAACAAATAAATGCACAAAAAATGCCTTTACCCTGTCTCGCCCGAGTTATAAAACTTGCCGTTCAGTGAAAAAAACCACAAAGAGCTGATGATATGGATGGGGTGACCTTTGATCTGTGAAACTATACTGAAGTACATGTAACTAAATCAAGCAGCAAACGGCAATGTGGTCTCCCAGCAAGAACTTCGACATAAGAAAGACAAGGCGAAGGCAACAGCATCCCCCC